AGCACTAGGTGTCTACACAGACGTGACCAGATGGTGAGGCAGACCCGGTATGCCATGCTAAGCAACATGGACTGTATTCCATAAAGAGTTAAGGAACCATTAATTTTTTTAATCCTGGAAATGACACACTTAATACCTTCTATACACACTTTACTAGCTTCTAGATTGTAGTGTTTTAGAAGCATGTGGTAAAAGTAGCCAGTTTATAAAATGATTCCCTACATAAAGTTGTAGAGGCAGGAACTTTGTCATGAAGCTACTCCTGAAGCCTCTGGGCTATGCACAAAGCCAAAGAGTCTCCAATTTCATATCTATGATTTAATGTTTCCTTATAGAAAGAAATTCTTAAACAGAAACTTGAAGTTCTACAGAAGATATGCTTATCACAATAACTCTCACTTATTGGCTTGCACTGGACACAAATTTAACTTAACCATTGTAACACCCTTAGAGGCTGATTCAACTACCCCCATGATCACATAGTTAATAAAAAAACAGGGCTGGGATTTCAAGTCTGGTTTGTCTGAACTCAACCTGTATCTCAGCACAGACCCTCCTCCAATCCCAGGGCGCTTATGCTCTCTCTGCTTCAATGTGCATGAAACTGTCGACTTTAACAATAATAATAGAGATTTATATTTGATTGAATTTTCTGTACAAAAATATTCTAATTGCTTTTCTTCCATTCTCCTAGTTTTTCTTCCCACCTGCAGAGAAAATGTAACTGTGTATGCTGCTGCCCCCTGGTGGCAATATTCCTAACTCAACAAAAACAGGGTTTGGGAACCTTTTATGTAACTCTTCAAAGTCAAATGAGAAAGTGACAACAGCTCCTAACATGGTGTCCACAGATCACCTTCCTGTGCGGAGACAACCGGTGCCCGCTCACTAGTCATGCCCGTGGAGCTCGAGTCCTGCCCCCTTGCCCATCCGCGTCAAACCTTGCCAGGCGTTCCTGGGACTTGATCGTACATCTGTGCCCCTGGCCAGCTGCCATTCCTTAACACTCCAGGCTCCCTTACTGCACTTACCAAGGCTTCTTTGCAGTGAGATAGTAGTACATGAGCTCTCAGAGTCTGTTTCCTCAGCATGAGATGAAATGTCAGTGAAGCACAGACCAGCCACTGGCTGCTCCCAGAGGTACATCACTAAATGTACTAAGTGTCATCACTAAAATGTCACTAAAATAGACATTTAGACCAAAGCTTCTGAGAATCCAATATGAAAACCTTGGGTGTTAGCATCTCAAATGTGTGTAAGTGTCCCGGGAAAGTGGGAAATAATTCTCAAAAGAAATGGCTCCAAGACAGGATTTCAGGGCTGACACAGATGATGTTACAGAAGCTTTGTTTATATGCACCCTATTTTCTTGTAAGAAAAAAAACGAATTCCTACCTTTTAACCCTTTTGTGTGATTGGATTTCAAGTCTAAATGTCTTCAGTATAGGATCCTAATCTGTTGTTGAACATTTTTCTGACACTTGAGCTCAAGGAGAGGGATACTGGATCTAAGAAATCTCTGGGTGGGATGACAGACACAGCAGGTGCAAGGAGTCACCTTGGTCCTTTTCCGCCTATAGGTGTCTTTCTACAGCCTCAGCATATGTGTCTTTAGGTAGCTGAACCCCACCCTCATCTTGGGTTTCTCCCTACTGTAGGCTTAAATCTATAGCTGCAGTAGTGAAACCATGGTGATACATGAGCAGTGTGGACGCCAAGGGCAGGTTGCCCCCAAATATGCCATTTTGACATATTGATTATTTTAAATAAAAGTTACTTAAGCAAGAGCTGGTAGAAGGAAATTCAGATTCCCCTCTGTCCCCCTGAGAGCAGGAAACTGATCTCCTGTATTAAAAGTACCCTCCCTACGGGCACCTGAGTGACTCAGTCCACTGGGCGTCTGACTTCGGCTCAGGTCATGATCTCGCGGTCCATGAGTTTGGCTGCATGTTGGGCTCTGTGATGACAGCTCAGAGCCTGGAGCCTGTTTCAGATTCTGTGTCTCCCTCTCTCTCTGTCCTTCCCCCGCTAACGCTCTGTCCTTCTCTGTCTCTGAAAAATGAACAAACCTTAAAAAAAATTTTTTTTTAAGTACCCTCCCTGTACTAAGAAGTATAAGGAAATCCTTATCACCAGAGATAGGGACTTTACAGGTGAGAAAGCTGTAAAAACAAACTTTGTTATTTTTTCCAATCTATTACCTCAGCCTGAATTCTGCTTACAAGTCTCTAAGGCTTCTGAACACCTGCTTTCTTTATCCTATCAGTCCCTCACAACCTTACTTTCTCACTCTAAAATGGACAGACACTGCCTGCCTTGATCATTTCTTTAGGTTTCAATCTCATTATTAGGCCCCCAATAGACTTAATGAAACTTTGAGTTTTTTACTTCTGTAAATCTGTTTTATGTAAATTTGATTCTCAGTCCAATGGAAGACTTGGCATGGTAGAGAAAGAATTGTCCCTTCCCAAAAGCAGAAAGAAGATAATTCTGTCTTACCTACTTTGCGGCTGTATATGTATATATATGTATCACCCTCTAACCTGTTTATTTTTTCTGAAAAAAAGCACATGATGCTTTACCCTGGCATGTACCAGACTGCACATTCTCGGGAGCAAAAACACAAACAAAATTTTGCTCCATTTAATACCTTCTTGCCTCGATTTAGGACAGACTCAAAGGACACTTATTATCCTGGGTATGTCTCCTCTTTCCTGGAGTGCTTCAACAAACAGCAATAGGAAAGGACGTACCACGGAGAGGCTCCATCCAAACCACGCCAGCTCAATGAGAAACCATCCGTCCATCTTTAAAGAGCCAACCCCTTACCTTCCGGATCTCTGGCATTGTAGAATTCGAATTCACAGTGGTTCATTC